TCACAACACCAATTCCATTACAAAGTGCATTAGAAGCCCCATCAAAAACCATATTCCATAAGGATCCTTGCTTAAGTATTTCATACGGTCCACGTTCTTCACAGTCTGTTACTAGCATGATGTTCTCATTCGTGAATTCGAAGTTCATAGATTGATAATCATCTATAGCTTGATGCGCCAAATGATTTGCCAGTACACTTCCTTTGATTGCTTTTTAAGTGATGTACTGAATGTCGTATTCAGTTAAGATCATTTTCCATCGGGCTATTATTTTGGAGAGAGTTGGCTTCTCAAAGATGTACTTGATGGAATCCATTTTAGAAATCAATAGAGTAGTATGGGTCAACATATATTGTCTTAGTCGGCGAGTAGCCCATGCCAAAGCATAGAAAGTTTTCTATAGCAGTGAATATCTTGTTTCATAATTGGTAAACTTTTTACTAAGGTAGTATATTGCATACTCTTTTCGACCAGACTCGTCATGCTGCCCCAGCACACACCCCATTGAATTCTCTAACACTGTCAGGTACATGATCAAAGGTCTTTCTTCAACCGATGGCATCAAAATTGGAGGTTATTAAAGGTACTATTTAATCTTATCAAAATATATTTGGCAGTCATCATTCCATTTTACTACTTGATCTTTCTTCAATAACTTGAAGAGTGGCTCACAAGTAGCAGTCAAATGAGAAATGAAACGGGCGATGTAGTTTAGTCGTCCCAAAAAACCTTTAACCTCCTTCTTAGTTCAGGGAGTTGGCATATCTTGGATATCTTTGACTTTTGCAGAATCAACTTCAATACCTTTTCCACTGACGACAAAGCCTAGGAGCTTACCAAACCTTGCCCCGAAGGTGCATTTGTTCGGATTCAACCTCAACTTGTATTTTTTCATCCTTCCAAACAACTTGTGCAGATGATCAAGGTGTTCTTCCTCAGTTTGTATTTGGATATCATGTCATCAACATAGACTTCTATCTCATGATGAATCATGTCATGAAATAAAACCACCATACCCTGTTGATAAGTTGCGCATGCGTTCTTCATTCCAAAAGGCATGACCTTATAACAGAAGGTGCCCCACTATGAGACAAAGGTAGTTTTCTCCATGTCCTCAGGCGCCTTTTTGATTTGTTTGTACCTGGAGAAGCCATCCATGAAGGAGAAAACCTTATGTTGAGCAGTGTTGTCAACCAAGACATCAATATGCGGTAGTGGAAAGTCGTCTTTGGAGATCGCCCTATTTAAATCCCTGTACTCTACACACATACGAACCTTACCATCTTTCTTCGGTACTGGAGCAACATTTTCAACCCATTGGGGATACGACGTCACTGCCAGGAAACTTACATTGAACTGTTTCATTACCTCAACATTGATTTTCTCTAACATATCAAGACACATGCAACGAACCTTTTGTTTGATTGGAGAAAAACCTTCTCTCATTGGAAGACGATGAACCACTATATCAGTATCGAGCCCTGGCATGTCTTCGCATGACCAAGCAAATACCTCAACATAGTCGTGAAACATTTGAACCAATCTGCTCTTGACACTGTCTTCCAAGTTGGCGCCGATCTTGACTTCTTTCTTATCTACCTCAGTACCCAAATTTATCACTTTTACCGGCTCTTCGTGCGGTTGGATGGCCTTTTCCTTTTGTATCAGGAGTCTGGCGAGTTCTCCAGGTATCTCGCAATCTTCTTCACCTTCGTCTTCGGCTTGATAGATTGGATTTTCAAAGTCATAAACGGTAATAACAGAATTGTTGTCAATGAGATCCGGAGTGGATGTGGATCTAAAAATGTGTGTGTGCATGTAAAGTCACATGGCTATTTGAAAATGCAGTAAAGTAAAAGAAAGACAAAGAGTGCAAAATTTGAATGCAAAATCGTCCAATGTTTTCATTAAATGAGGACATGATATATGAAATGACAACCCTTAACAAATGGACCATTGTGCCACAGGCAAGGCACAAGGTTTAAAGTCATTATTTTAAAAGAAATTATACAAACAAACTTCTTAAAGCAATAAAAACAAGAAATAGCAATTACTCCTGGCTGAAGGAGATTGAGATAAAGTCTTTGGTCTTCCAGTTGTTGAGTCCACCGTCAGTAGTTGGGAATATCCAATCATCCAGGTCACCGTCACTATCAGTGTCCTCCAAAGCATTGACTTCATTATTGATAATACGGAAAGGTGGTCCTCCAGCACGAGCACATCGAACCTCTTTCTGAGCCTTGGAAGAGAAACTCAATCCGAATTTATTAGATTTGTAAGGGATATCAGGAAGTTGTCCCCAGATGGTGCAACCGCCTTCTTCTACAACAGTCCTAGCATCCTTCAGAGAGGCTATTCTTGGTGTATCCTTGGCAGTCTTAGGAGTAGCAGGAGTAACTTTAACAAAAACAATAGTTGGAGGGATTACTTCAAACATTTGGCAGAGGTTTCAATGAATTCACCATCCATTTCAACATATTTGAAAGAATTCAAATGACTGACCATATATTCTTCCTCATCGCAGACTGTGACAATCTTCCCTTTCAATGGGTACTTCATCTTTTGATGTAATGTAGAGATAACCGCATCTGCCCCATGAATCCATGGGTATCCCAGTAAGCAAGAATAGTTTGGGAAGATATCCATTACATAAAATGTGGAGTTGAAAACTTGAGATCCCACCTTGATCGGCAGATCAACCTCCTCGTGGACCATTCTTTTTTAACCATCGAAGGCTCTCACCACAATATCGTTGGATTTCAGCACCAACCCATCACAATCCAGTCTATCCAAAGCACCTTTGGGTAAAATATTTAGGAAGGACCCAGTATCTACCAACACACGCGCCAGGGTGGTGTCTTTGCATTCAATAGAGATGTGCAGAGCTTTGTTGTGATTCTTCTCCGTCAGAGTTAAATCTGCGTCGGAAAAGCTCAAACCATTGTCAGCGATTAGGCTTGCTACACAATTCTTAAATTGATCAGCAGTGGTCACTTGTGGTACATAGCCATTCATCAGAAATTTCAACAAAGCTTGGGCATGTGCTTCAGAGTATAATAACAAAGACAACATGGATATTTTTTAGGGTGTCTGCCAATACTACTTAATTTTCTATTTTTTAATTTATTTTTCTAATAAAATTGACAATGTCGAAAAACCGAGAATACTTAATTTGTATATCTTTTATATATATTTCTTAACCATCAATATACTATATTTATTTATTATTTACAACAAAATTGTTTAACTCGTGTAAATGAACAAGTAGATGACTATTTAATTATCTCTTTTATTTTTCTACTAAAATCTATTATTTTGAATGATCGAGACTACTTAATTTATATATATATATATATATATATATATATATATATATATATATATATATATATATATATATATATATATATATATATATATATATAAACCATCACTATATCATATTTATTTACTATTTATAACGATAATGTTCGACCCGTGCGAATCCACGAGTAGATGATTACTTGCTTATTTCTTTTTTCTGTTAAAATATACATTTCCGACGGGTCGATACTATTCAATTTATATATTATTATATACATTTCTTAATCATCGTTATACTATATTTATTTACTATTTATAACAATATTGCACGAATCCTACGAAAGTACGGATAGATAACAATTTAATTATTTCATTTATTTTTTCTATTAAATTATACATTTTCAACGTATTGAGACTATTTAACTTATATATCTTTTATATATATTTTTGAATCATTACTATGAAGTATTTATTTACTATTTAAAAAGAAATTATGCAACACATGCGAAAATTTATGTTTTAAAAATGGGTAATGTTTAAATTGACAATTTAATTTTTTCATTTATCTTTTTTACTAAAATATATGTTTTTTATGTGCCGAAACTATATTATATTTATTTACTATTTATAACAATATTGCACGACTCATATGAATACACAGATATCTTGATAGTTGTTTTTAATTTTTTACACATATTAAAAAATGTAATTAATTTAGAATGGGAAGAGAAATTAAGAGTGATTTTATAAAATTGTTTTTATTAGTGATATTAAAAAAATAAATTAAAAAAATTAAAAGAAGAGATACTAACAAAGAACATATAAACAATATTAATATTTCATTGATACTCTCATTGAAAGTATTAAAGTGGCTGATGATATAAAAAAATGAAGAGAACGTCTAGTTGTTGGTTGTATTTAATTAATTTTTAAATTTAAAGATTTTTAAAAAAATAATACATTAATAAAAAGGAAAGATGAAAAAGAATGATGACAAAAATCTAATTCATTAAAATAAAGTAAATTCTTGACTACACCTTATAAAATTAAAGATAATTTATTTCAAATGTTATATACTAATGAAATTTTATCATAATAAATTAAAATTTTAAATTTCATATTAATTAAAAAAATTTAAAAATCAAAATTAAATTAAAAAATATATATAATTTAATTTTTGAATAATAACATGATATGTCAAGTGTGAATAATGAATATTTTTTAAGTGAAAAGAGGCATAGTTTAATGTCTTATAGTTTTGAACTAATAAGTAATTTTAAAAAATTATTTTATGTGAAAAAATTTTATTAGTATAAATTTTTCAAGATAAATTATGTCATATTTTACAAGGGTAGTTTAAATCTCACCTTAAAGTAATTAAATAAAACGGAAGTTTGCCAATAGGAGATACCCTCTTTATTGATATGTTGATTGAAAAATTAGAAGAAAAAAAATTGGGTTGATGATCTTATATTGACTATAATAATAAGATAAATAATCACAAATGGATTGAAAATAAAATAAATACATGAAAGTGTCCATGTCTAATTCAAACCCACCACACTCCATTTATTTTATTTATTTTCATTTATTTGTGTATTTATGTATAATATGTCGAATACCATATCAATATCAAAGTAATATTAAAAATTACACGAGCTAATTCAAATATATATATGAGAGAAGTTTTTGTTTTCTCAAACAATTTTCAACTCAAGGTTTGTACATCCAGCTTTAGCCTTGTGTTTTTGAAAAAGATCTCGAAGTGCTTCAACAAATTCACTATGTACTTTGGTAACCTAAAAAGCATAGGAAAAGAAAGAAAAATTAATATGCATGCATTGATTATGAATATATGAACAGTAAAGTAGTATTATAAACTCATACCTGTTCTGTCGTTGGTTTTGGAATCTTCTTAACATGAATAGGTCTACCAACCACCACATACAATGGATTCTTGAATGGTATAGGAGATCTTCAAGACAAGTTACATGATTATAAGGAGACTTAAAGTGAAAACAAAAGTAAAGAGATGGAGAGAATGAGAATGAAGAATTTTGAATTTGAAAACAAGAAAAAAGGCTTACCCTAGTATTCCCCAAAATATTATTGGATTAATCTTGATAAACCTTGTAAAATTCTGAACTAAGATACCAGGAACTTTCCACCACTTATAGGTATTTGTCTGTCATCAAAAAGAAAATAAATGCAAATCACATCTAAGTTATCTAATTATGGAGGATATTTTTAATAGTAAAGAAGTGTTCAATGTGATCAACTATCAATTGAAAGTAGAGTAGTTTTGAGGATGTACAAGATGGTATAGGGTCTAAAATTTCACAAGTTAAATAAAATCTCACAATATTTGTCATAACAAAAAGGGCTTTTAACAGCGCACATTAGACAGTGCTTTTATACAAAAGCGCTGTTATAAGTGAATTTAAAAAAAAAACACGGAAATTGTATATACAATGATAAATAAAAGCGCTCCTAAAAATGTGATCTTAGACATCACTTTTTAAAAGCACTGCTTAAAGTGTTGCTTTAGAAAACACTTTAGCAAAAGCGCTGGTAAATGACCACTTTAGACAACACTTTTAAAAATGTCTAAAGTCATATAAAATTTAAAAAAAATCTCAAAAGCGCTGCTAAAGGGCCACATTAGCCAGCGCTTTTCAAAAGCGTTGCTAAAGGACCACATTACCCAGCACTTTCTAAAGAGCGTTGTCTAAAGGCATATAAATTAAAATTAAAAATTAGAATCAGACTCGTTTCTCTTTTCACAGATTGTTTTTCCTCTCACGAACGAAAACCCTTTCCCTCTCCAAGCTCCTTCTGCCGTCGTCCAAGCGCCTTCCGCCGTCGTCAAGCTTCGTCGGCCTTTCCCTCCGTCCTCCACCGTCTCTCTCGGTTGTTCTCCACCCCGACCGACCCTTTCTCAAGGTAGGTTCTTTCTTGAATCTGAGTTTTACTAAAATCATGATAAACTAAAATGTTCAATATTGTTCGTGTAAAATCAATTTGAAAAGTGTTTTTATTTGTTAGAGTGCATTAACATGGCTAAGAGCAAGCTAATAAAGAAGTTTTTTGTAGTATGATTCTTGTTGGCATAAGTTTATAACTGGTTTGTCGTATTCTATTTCTTTTATGGTGTAGATCATTATTTGACTGGTTTGTGTGGTTCTGGGCAAAGTACTATTGCTAAGAAGCTTTGTTGAAATTCACAATTCAAAGATAGTAACTTATTGTCTCTTCTTCTTTGTTTCATATAAATGACTTATAATATAAGCAATTATATGATAAACACCGAAATAAGTTGTTTAATCATATAAGGTGTTAGTCCTCTAAATTATTTCATCTCATTAGACATTCAATCATAGTAAATATCCAAATTTTCATGATTTTAATAGCATAACTACAACATAAGGACTAGTTACTTCACTTCATATATAGTAGAATAATATATATATATATATATATATATATATATATATATATATATATATATATATATATATATATATATATATATATATATATATATATATATATATATATATATATATATATATATATATATATATATATATATATATATATATATATATATATATATATATATATATATATATATATATATATATATATATATATATATATATATATATATATATATATATATATATATATATATATATATATAGTTAATTAGTAGAGTTTGGTTATGAGATGTATAGGTAATAAATTTCTAGAAATAATCCGTTTAAATCATACAAAATTTCTAAAAGTTTGTATTAATCTTCTTATAGTGTATATACTATTTTCTCTATTTTGTTCATGTGTGTTGACACCTAAATTCATTAGCCTCCTAAATGGACTGTTTTTGTTTATTTTTGATGATCCCTTTGTATTGGTGTAGTTAGTCGAAGACCATCACCGATTCGAAGAACATCAAAGCCGCATCATCCGCCGTCGATACCAATAACCCTCTTTTCTTTCTTTGGTAAGTCAAATTCAAATTCAACATTATTGATTCTTTTATTTATTTACTATCTCCTTCCTATATTTATTTTTAGTCCATATTAATAACTCTAGAAATAAATTTCAAAAAATAATTCGTTTAATTCATACAAAAAAGGAATAATCCGTTTATAGTGTTTTTGTTTACTTTAATTAGTAGAAAAAAATGGATAAAAAACGGATGTATGTCAATCGATTGTTAAAAGAGTACGAGAATGGGGTATTGGAATTCATTAAGTTTGCTGTTGAACACGCCAAAGACCCCGGTCGAATGAAGTGTCCTCGCTTGGGTTGTTGTTATGTGGGTCGGGTCAACGCAGTGGATTGAAATCGCATTTACTAATGCATGGAATTGATAGAAGTTATACATGTTGGATATTTCACGGTGAAAAAAGTAACGACAATGTTGAACCGGGGGAGAAAAGTAGTACAACCTATGCTTCAGACGACAAGGACACAGATACATACGATTTTGATCGAGTTGAAGAGATTCCAGATGCATTGAAGAAGATCTTCAGGATTGTCCCAAGATGTTTGAGAAATTGGTAAGCGATGCATAGAAACCGTTGTATAAAGGTTGCACTAAATTCACAAGACTGTCTGCGGTATTAAAGTTGTACAACTTAAAGGCGGGCAATGGATGATCAGATAAAAGTTTCACAGAGTTATTAGCCCTTATGATAGATATGCTTCCGGAGGATAATGTTCTTCCTAATCGAACCTATGAGGCCAAAAAAATGTTGTGCTCTATTGGAATGAGCTATGATAAGATAAATGCTTGTCCAAATGATTGTGTTTTGTTTCGAAACGAATATGCATCGTTAAATGAGTGCCTTAAATGCGGTTTATCTCGATATAAGAAAAAATTGTCTCCAACAAAAGTCTTATGGTATTTTTCTATAATTTCGAGATTTAGGCGCATGTTTCATAGTGAAACCGATGCAAGACACTTGACTTGGCATGCATATGAAAGAATTATTGATGGAAAGTACCGACATTCGACAGATTCACCATAGTGGTCGAAAATTGATGATGATTATCCTGATTTTGGAAAAGAAGCAAGAAACCTTCGCTTGACATTATCTACTGATGGAATGAACCCACATGGTCTTCAAAGTATCTCACATACCACATGGCCTGTGATTCTTATGATTTATAACCTATCTCCATGGCTATGTATGAAGCGTAAGTACATGATGTTATCTATGTTAATTTCTGGGCCTAAACAACCAGGGAATGACATAGACGTATACTTGACACCTTTGATCGAAGATTTAAAGATTTTATGGGAGAACGGTGTGGAGGTTTATGATGGATATAAGAAAGAAAGTTTCAATTTGAGGGCGATGTTGTTTGGCACAATTAATGATTTTCCAGCATACATGAATCTATCTGGGTATAGCATTAAAGCTCAACGTGCGTGTCCTGTTTATGAAGATGGAACCGATACGATGCGATTGGAACTTTGTCAGAAGAATGTGTTTCTCGGTCATCATAGATTCATACATTCTAAACATCACTACCGTGGGTGGAGAAAATCATTCAATGGAGACATCGAACAATGTAAAGCTCTAACTGCATTGTCAGGTGACTAAATTTTTGAAAAGGTGAAAGACGTGTGTACTCAGTTTGGCAAGCCTTTTGCACATAAGGTTGTCAAAGGTGGGTGGAAGAAGAGGTCGATTTTTTTTTTGAATTGCCATATTAGAAGTCTTTGTTTGTGAGAAATTTTCTCGATGTTATGCATATTGAAAAAAATGTATTCGAAAGTATTATTGGTACGTTACTCGATGTAAAAGGAAAGTATAAGGATGGCCTTAAAGCAAGGGAGGACATGTTAAAGATGGCAATAAGAACTGAATTAGGACCCGTGAAGAAAGGAAGACGAACATATCTACCACCTGCTGCTTTTACTCTATCTAGAAAGGAGAAAAAAATATTGTGCAAGTTTCTAAGTGAAGTTAAAGTTCCAGAAGGATACTCTTCAATATTAGAAGACTTGTGTCTATGAAAGACCTCAAGTTGAAGAGTTTAAAGACACATGATTGTCATGTTATAATGGAGCATTTTTTACCAATAGGTATACGTTCTATTTTGCCAAAAAAAGTAAGAAGCGCCATAACTAAATTATGTTTTTTCTTTAGGTTAATTTGTAGTAAGGTGGTTGATCTTGAGGTCTTACCAACACTGCAAAAAGAAATAGTTATTACCTTGTGTGAGCTTGAGATGTATTTTCCTCCCTCTTTTTTGACATAATGGTACATCTAGTTGGTCATCTTGTGAAAGAGACACAATTGTGTGGACCAGCTTATATGAGATGGATGTACCCTGCTGAACGTTATATGAAAATATTAAAAGGGTACGTGAAAAACCAAAGTCGCCCAGAGGATTGTATTGTTGAACGATACATTGTTGAAGAAGCGGTTGAGTTTTGTACTTAATATTTGTTCAATGTTTAATCCGTTGGGCTCCCCAAAACTCATATTTTTGAAAAAAAGGAAGGTAAAAAATTAATTGGAAATAAAATTGAGACAATATCAAGGGATGAACGGGAGCAAGTGCATTTGTATGTTCTGCACAATGACATTGAGGTTGAGCCATATGTTGAAATGCACAAGGCTATACTCCGAGGGTTAAATCAGAACATAAATGAAAATTGGATAGTACGAGAGCATAATCAAAGTTTTATACAATGGTTTAAGGATCATATTTATTCAAAACGCTCTTCATATACCACTTCAATAACAGAAAGGTTGAGATGTTTGGCATATGATCCAAGTTTGCATGTGTTTTCTCATAGCGCATACGCAATAAGTGGATACACATTTTATACCAAATAACAAGATTATAAAAGTACTATGCAAAATAGTGGTGTCACTGTGCTAGCTGAAGCAATGCACATATCAAGTACGAAGGACCTAAACCCCAAATATGCAAATCTATCATATTTTGGGGTTATTGAGCACATTTGGGTGTTTGATTACGAGAAATTTCAAATTCCTATATTTGGTTGCAAGTGGGTAAATAGTAGTGGCATACGAATGGATAAGTCAGGATTTCTACAAGTTGATCTTAATAGGGTGGGGTACAAAGACGAGCCTTTTATTCTAGCATCTCAAGCTAAACAAGTGTTCTATGTCACTGACCCGACGAGTACAAAATGGT